ACAGCGCTGCATGACGGAATAAATGTCAGTTAAAGTACCGCAGCGCTGAATACTGAAAAATGGCCTGGATGGGAAGGGGGTTTAACACCGCGGATGTCAACTGGTTAAGCGAGCAGCCAAGGCTATATACATCAGTGTTCTCTCTACAGCAATGCTGTAGAGAGAACACTGAGACAGTCATATCAGTCTCTGTACAAAGGAGCTTACACTCTAATGCACAATTGCACCGGCAGTAGGGGGACTACAAATCCCAGCAATACATTTATACACCAATGCAGAAGAGTAAATGAATTTTGCTCAGTGCTTAGCGACCCGATGGACTCTGGGATTAGCGATTATCGACCCGCTGGACGCAGGGATTCGTGACCCGCTGGACGCAGGGATTCGTGACCCCTTACATGAGTATCGGCCGTACCCCCCTGATGGCGGCCCTGCACACCCGTGCTCCTCCCATTGTGTCATAGTAGCGTAATCAGGAGCATCACCAAAAGCGAAATAGGTGGACAAACAGTTTTGAAGTTGGTGCAAGTTTACGGGGCCACTTAAGAGAGAGGGGTTAAGCCTCCACATTTTAGTCCTATTGTCATGTTAAAAGGAAGAAGGGCTCTTTTAGTGCACTGTTTGTACAGTCACTTACAATGCCAAGTCCACCCAGAGTTGAAACATTTGTGGATGGCTAACAGCGTCATGAATAGCCTACTTCTTCAAACTCCCCAGGAGTCCAGCAGCAGGATATCCCCACTACTATTCCCAAAGCCAAATTATCCTCCTGTTAAAATGACATTGTCACGGGAAAAGTAAATATAGTTACATTGTTGTTAAGGTTGAATAAAGATTCTGATCCATTTAGCTCAGTGTGTTTGAGTCAAATACATGGACTTCCAATTCTAGCCTTCTTCTAAAAACTGCTTATTGCCTGGCTGTGCCTGGTGACAATATGTTTTGAGTCACAGGCCTGGTACAAGCATGCTATAAATGAGTGCAAAAAAAGAGTGTGTCAGAATTCCTTCACTCTAAACTTGTTCCTGGTTAGAGACTTAGAAAGGATGACAACCAGGTAGCTAGCATTTTCACAAGGAATTGTCAGCAATGACACTCTCCATGAGTATCTCAAGATAGGTTTCCTTTATCAATTATTTTCAATGTACAAAAGGCAGATAACTATGAAGACCAGTTACAAGGATGTGACAACTTTGTTACACCCAAGTGGCAAGGGATGGAGGCACAAATTAACATTTACCACAAGATCTGTGAGAGCTATAAGAAGCCAGTAAATGATTCAAGCCATTGGTTATTACTCCAAATGTCAGTAACTGGCCCCAAAGAAAATTATCCTCCATCAGTAGTGCAAAAAAGGAGAGCACCATTAAACAAACTCCCAAGTTTCGGTATAGAACCAATTGGCAGTGTGTACAGTGCTGAGTGTATGAGTGGCACAGTGCATGCTGCTCAGAACCGCTGAGAAGACTTCCTACAAAAAAAAGGCCAAGTGTGAAAGGGGATCCTGCAATTTATAGGTCAAGTCCACTCAGACATGCATATATTATATTATTTAATTAAACTATTGTGGATGGTTAACAGTATGCTGAATCACTTACTTGTTTTTTTAAACGGTCTAGGATTCCAGTGACAAGATATCCCTACAACTACTCCCAAAGCCAAATGATGCTCCTTTTAAAAAATCCTCTGAAATGTAGGAAAAGCAAATACCCCATGCTAGTAATGCAGTCAGTAGTTCCATTACTGCATAACTGTATAGGAGAAACCTGTACGGTTTAATAACTTTTTCTGTTAAGCCCTTTTGACAACATGGAGCCCGCATTCACACTTGAATGTAGACATTTTCGGGTGATTTTTAAGCATTTTTTTTCTTCCACCCAAATGTGTATTATTAAAACCTTTTTCCATGTGCTTTTAAGCTTCAGGCATTTTTGTTTTGGCCAATACAAAAAATGATCATCATCTTCCTTGTATCCGCTTTCTGTTTTTTCTGTGTGGTGTTGTGGTGTTTTGTGCTATCAAAACTCCCAATCCGGGAACACTATACACACAATTTTTTCCCAGGCCATCTGCTGATAGCCACGGTTCTTGTAATGGGCATCACTGGGGTCAAGGAGATTTTTGTAGGCCCTTAACAGGCGGATGAAAGTCTCCACATACAGCATTGACACTTCTGAATCCTCCATTTTGTTCACAGACCTGAGGTTGCTAGGTGGAGGAGACCTGTTGCGACACTGGTGACATGCGTTTTCAGCATATAGCTTATATACGTTTGAGAGAAGCTGCAGCAAACGCGCAACAAATTGGTCAGGTGTGAATGGCGGCTAAACCTAATGTTTTGAAATACAGGCGCCAGATGCAGAACTGAATCAAATGCCTGGAGGTTTCCTTTACACTCAGCACTCATCATAAGTCTGATAATGGAAGACATTCTTTGCTAGGTAAATCGTCTCGTATATCCTGCATGTCATCCTTGTATTTAGCCGCTTGCCTAGAGCTTAGATTTAATTCTACAATGGCGCCCTGCAGCATAAGCTTTGCCTGAACCTGGTGTGCATTGAGCCATTCAGAATGATATAACCGTTGGACCTTATGATCAGGAGTGGGCAACAAGCACTGTATTTCTGCGTGCAATGCTAATCTCCAACCAAACAAATCAGTACATTAGATACATTATTTACATCACTGGTTAAAGGCTCACATGCAAGAACATACCACAGGTTTTGACGGTCTTCTTAGAACTTTTGATGAGCGGTCTGTTCCCTGAGGATTTATTTGTGATGAGGAAGCAAAATTATGCGACTGAGAGGGGGTTCGAGAACATGGCCTCTTCGACGCCTGTTCTGTCAAGGAAATATGCAAGCTATATTAATACCAAACTGTGCTTTGAATCACAGTTATATTTAAAGAAGAACTCTGGGCAAATAAAATCTTAACCCTTGCAGTGGGGCTACCCCTGCAGTGTAAGGCTTAAAAGAGAAGTATGGGGTAAGTGTTTTTCCCCATAGTTCTCCTAAGGGTCACGGGAGGACATATACTAGCGTCCTCCCGTGACACAAAGCTCAGTATATCGTGAGCTACAGCTCGTGGTATACTGAGACCACCGCAGCCGGGACGGCATTACTGTCGAGATCCACCCAGCTGCGTGAGTGACAGCTGGCTCTGCCTATCTAGAGGCAGAGCCAGCTGTACTTGCCCCCTCCCCCGTCCGTTCCTCCAGTCGGCGCTGCAGGATCAGAGCGGGGGAATCCCTGCAGGGAACAGTGGCTGTCAGTCACGGCTCTCTGCAGGGAGATGATCGAGAAGTGAGCGAACAACGGTATGTGTTCGTTCACTTCCCGATCTATTGAGCTGACGTGTGACAGTTTCAATGTCACATGTCGGCTCAAACTATGAGGATGAGTGATTTTCACTCTCCTCATTGTTCTCCTTTAATTGCTTGTTTTGTCTAGGGAGCTAAAATAACTATTCCATCGCTGGAGTGGAGGAGGCAGACTGAAGGGACTAGTCTAAGAGCCAGCCAGGATCACAGTTAGGGTGAGTATATCTCGGTTATTTTAGCTCTCAAGGCAAAAGGAGCACTTAATCCCCTGCTGTACGGGGCTGCCCCACTGCAAGGGTTAAAAGGAGAACTATGGGGTTAAGGCTTTTCCCCATAGTTCTCCTTAGGGTAACGGGAGGACACAAACCAGCGTCCTACCGTCACCCTAGGCTCAGTATACCGCGAGCTGCTGCTCGCGGTATACTGAGACGCCGCAGCTGAAGCGGATCCCGACAATTGTGCCGGGATGCGCCCAGCTGTGTGACTGACAGCTGGCTCTGCCTATCTAGAGCTGTACCCGCCCCCTCCCCCGTCCGTTCCGCCAGTCAGCGCTGGCGGATTGGAGCGGCGAATCCAGCCCCTCCCCTGTCACGGCAGAGAGCCGTGACAGGATCGAGAGGTGAGCGAACGCCGGTATGTGTTCGCTCACCTCCCGATCTACTGAGCCGACCTGTGACAGTCTCATTGTCACAGGTCGGCTAGAACTATGAGGTGAGTGAAAAGCACTCGCCTCATAGTTCTCCTTTAAGATTATATTTGCCTGGAGTTCTTCTTTAGGTAAGAGTAAAGAAACAATCATATATAATGTCACAGTCATAAAAAGTCATAAAAGATTCTAAAAATGTAATGAGGAAAAAGATATTCGCACTTACAATGCATGCATTATTTTGTGAGATTGAATTTCATGGACCTGTTTAATAGTGATGGTGTAAAAGGAAGTGGAAATAAAGAGAAGAGCAATATAAAAGATGAGAGAGGAAAAGAGAAGACAGAGTTAGAATAACTAAGGGGAAGAGAGAAAATAGAAGGGGAAAAGAAAGATGAACAATGTAAAGAGGAGAGACCCAACGTGTGTAAACTGTTACCATATGACTAACAAAGTGTATTTCCACTTTTGCAGCCAAATTGGGATAACACCTATTTATATATAAAGTGCACAGAGAAATCTCACCACCTCAATTCTCCGGCTGCATCTCCATCACAGAGATCCCACAGGTGCAGGCAGAACAAGTGCATGTTCACCTTCAATCAGTTCAGCTGGAAAGATAGCTGCACACCATCGGATCTTCAAATAGTAAATCCAATATTTATTTGTAATCCAATACTGTATACCACAGACATGCTCCCCAATACAAGAGTCCTCTTGCACATCTCACCGATAAGGCTTAAAAGGAGAACTATAAGGAGAGTGATTTTTACAAAGCCTCATAGATAGAGCCGACGCGTGACATTGAAACTGTCACACGTCGGTTCTATTGATTGGAAAGTGAGCAATCACACATACCGTCGCTTGCTCACATCCCAATCATCTCCCTGCAGAGAGCGGTGACTGTCAGTACCGCTCCCAGCAGGGATTCCCCCCCTTCCAAATCCTCCAGCGCTGGCTGGAGGAACAGATGGGGGAGGGGGTGAGCACAGCTGGCTCTGCCTCTATATAGGCAGAGCCTGCTGTCAGCCAGCCAGCTCGGTGCATCTCGACAGTATAGTCGGGATCCGTCCTCGCTGCGGCGCTCTCAGTATATAGCGTGCTATATACTGAGCTTTGGGTCACAGGAGGACGCTAGTATATGTCCTCCATTGATCTTTAAGAGAACTATGGGATAAAAAAGTTACCTTAATCAATGGTACCTCTATGATTAAGCCTTATAGGTAAAACGCATAAGCAGCCTCTTGTTGTATTGGGAAGCATGTCTGTGGTATGCACTTTTGGACTACAAATAAATATTGGATTTACTATTTGAAGATTTGGTGGTGTGCGGCTATGTTTTGAGCTGACCTACTTTATATATGTTATATGTTCCCATTTACATTGCATAGCTAAAAAAAATATTTTAAAAATTGCCGCTTACTTTAAGTGCTTTCTACTTCCTTAAAACCATACTGATCTTCCCCCCTATGTCATGTTAGGGAGGGGATGTGTTATCCTTTTGCCTCTAATTAACCCTGTCTGCACTGTACTGGCAGAATTAATTATAAGTTGTAAACTAAATTTGAACACTGTCCTAACAAAGGGTTGAAGCCTTCGGGGCACTGTGTGTTAATGCTCAGGTCCTGACAGGTAAGACATGTTTATAAAAATATATATTTTTAGGCACGCTGTGTGAATAAGAACACAAAATAAACATATAATGGGGTTTTATCAAATGTAACTGCAAACATGGAAATCCACTCTGGGAGAAGAATGAGATGTACCACAACCTCATGGAAAATGATACTGAAGCTAAGGTGACCATGTCCATAGGAATATGCACAAGCTGTCAATTAAAATGACCATCAACGTTCCTTTGAAATCACAAAAAAGACAAACAATTGTCTTTGTTCAGACGAAAGTGAAATAAATCTTTGTACTATCCTTTACTGTGAGAAATGATATAAAGCAAGAGCAAACATTGACAGCCAAAAAGGAATAGTGTCTGGATTGTCTCACTCAATGAAAATGAAAGAATCTGAAGTCTGAGTGTCTTTAAATTGGATACACATTACTGTAAACAGTACATGCAAGCTGCTCCTACACGTCTCATAATATGTTCATATGTCTTACCTTCAGTAGCTCTGTTAATTGCAGAAAGAGTGCTTAAGATCTTAGGAAAATTCTCACCAGTGTAGAGGTCATTTGCATCAAACAGCTGCAGAACAGAGATAAAAGTTCAATACTGAAATTAGAGGAAATGCAAACTTGATAATAGACATTGAAATATGCACACATTCTTAACCAGCAGTAAATTACTTCAGCAGTGTTTCTGCTGTGAATTTTGAGAATGAATTGATCCACAGTTCCTGCAGCTACGGATGTTAGTGAGGGCTTGTTTTAAAGCTCATGTACTCCCTTTTAGGAATATGTAAATGCTTGAAACTCCAGATCCTGGCCAAAAGGATCACTATAAAGATATATATTATATAGTAGTAATTATTTAATAGTAAATTACTACAAATTATGTAAACTAAAAATACCAGTAAAGTACAATTACCTTGTGGTTTAACTGTATAAATACCTGCACAGGAAGTTACTAGCTCACAAGATTTCTGGCAGGATCAAAAAGTATTTGTTGCACTTATAAAAAAATATAACAAAAGGCTTTCAAGTATATTGAACAGACCGAAAGGGAGCAAACAAGCAAAGTTCACTGTAAGGCTCCATTCACACATAGTGGTAGCATTTTCCGATCAGTTTTTCGCACGGAACGAAACCACGCAAACTTTAACATATGTGCCCATTCTGCGCATTTGTGGCTATTACTAAAGCCGGAATGTGCAATATCCGCCATAAAATGGTGCTTGTACTATTTCGTGGGATGCGCGATTTCGGACCAGGTGGTCGCCGCAAAAGTTTTAACAATGAACTTGCATTTTGTTTTATGTTTAGAGTGGTTTGAGGGCGTATTTGTACGGCCAAATGCGCGCGGACACAAGCGCTTCTGTGTGAATGAAGCCTAAGAATTTACACATACTTTAACCTCAGTCACCTGCATACAATAACGTGTTAAATCTATGGGTCATATGATACAGTGGGTACTGTAATAGTAACATTTCTCCTGATTTCACTTTGTTTACATTATGCTGTTATCATCTATGCAGATAAGTATGTTCCTGATGGTGACAACAGCCTATTCATTTAGAAACAATGCAGTGTTCCTCAAATATTTAGTAGCCGAATGAGACTGTCTGGTCACATCATGTGCAGTTAAAAGTAACAACTGTGTCATGGTCTTTCACAAAAAAAGGTAAGTGTGTGAATTTTTACACATGTCATTTCTGATAATAAACATGACAATCTTATCATTATTAATAATATGCTATAAGATGTGACAGTAACCTTCCACTACATTTTAACTAGAGGTGCACCGAAACAGTAAACATACTATGTCCTCAATTACTTACAAGCATGTCGTGGACAGTATGATCGTTGAGTGCTTGTAAACGCTCTCCATAGTGACTCCTTTGGCTGTCACAGGAGGCTGAGCCGGTGGTGCGGGGTTGAGAGCTCAGCCTCTTCTGACATGGCTGACAGCTGACTCCTCCCCCACACTGCCGGCTCAGCCTCCTGTAACAGCTCACATCTGTCTCCTCCCCGCACTCCATCCTAAGTCTCTGCTTCTCACAGGAGGCTGAGCGGGGTGGAGTGGGAGAGCATGACATATGACATAGATAGAAATATCAATAATGAGAAGAAAATTTGCTAAGTTGGTATTCCACAAATCAGCAAAAAAAAAAAAAAAATCCCCTCAACTGGGAAATAACAGCCAGTTCTGAGTCAATTTCCTTTTCAAGCTGAGCAAAGATGGTGGGATTTGAGGCCACTGGGTGGTTTACCTTAGCTGAAAGGGATTGTCCCTATTTCTAAAAGCTTTAGAGCAGGGGTAACCAAACTTCGACCCGCCTGCTGTGGTGAAACTACATATTCCTACGACAATTTGTTTTTTTTCTATTTGATCTGTTTTGTATTATTCTGGTCTCTGGGGATCTGTCGGAGGCTCTCAACTGAGGTAGGGACCTTTAGTGAATGTTAATGAATGAACAAAAAGCCTTAAGAAGAAACTAAAGGGTGAACTAATATGGATAGTGGGATGGTAGCTTCTCTATAAGGCTTTCTTTTGACAAGTATTTGGCTGAGAAAACAAGTGAGCGAAATGGGTTTGGGGCTATAATAAGACCAACCAGAAACCAATGGGCTCAAGTTTTAATGTTTATTTGTGTATATATGTCTGAGTTTGTAGGTTATTGCAACTGTATATAAAGTAACATGTATACGTGTAATGTAACAAATATGAAGTAAAAATTGATTAATAAAAAATAAAACGACAAATTCCATCATTAATCTGCCTATGGGACTCATGCCTGTGGCTGTCAAGAGTACTGCAATGCCCTATGGGACTTGTAGTTTTACAGCAGCTGGAGGGCCTAAGTTTGGCTACCCCTTATTTAGAGTGTGTCTCTAGCCATTTTTTTTAGTTTGGATAGAGAGGAGTTTTTTCTGTTGTCTGTGGTCTCATTGCAGAGATTTATTTTCACTTCCTGTTGCAAAGACACAACAGACAGTAAGAGGAAATCTCTCCAAAGTCATAAGAAACCCCTGTTAGAAAGATGTCCCCGGAACTGGTGTTGTCACTGGAACATTTTCTCTCCATTACTGTTCCAGTAATAAAAACATAACATTTTGAATTAGCCAGCACTTTCTGTACCGGTGACAGCAATCACCAGGACAAATAAAGAGGGTGAATCTCTCTAGTGAAGACATAGGCAGCTAAAATGTTTTGGATAGAGATACAGATTACGAATATAAACCGAGGTACCTAATTTTACCACAAAGAACGGGGAAAAAATATTGACTCGAGTATAAGCCTAGGGTGGGAAATGAGGCAGCTACTGGTAAATGTACAAAATGAAGATAGATACCAATAAAATTACATGAATATTTATTTCAAAGAAAAACAATAACCTAGCTCTGTAAGTGGAAAAGGGGGTCAACATTAACAATATGGTATCAAAAATACCGTAACTTTAAAAGTACAACAACCTTAGCTCAATCAGCAACCAAGCTAACACACAAGAGCTAAAATCCTTCAAAACTGGAGTTCTCCTCCTCATCATCTGTATGTCCAAACAGAGCTTCAGCTGGTGTGAGGTGTTTTTAGCTGAGGGAAACTTGCAGATGGCAAATCCCCTCTCCACATATACCATTCCCCCGACACAGAGGATAAAATATTTCCACAATCCCTGGGCAGATCCTGCTTCCATAAGGATTTTATCCTTTCCATTCAGGCCCCTTACCTTATCTCTTCTCTTCAGCCTGCACCGAGACGCACTTCTGCCTCCGGACCCGCCCCCTGCCCACAGCACAGTGACAAGCCAATCACTGGCAGTCACTGTGCAGCCAACAAGCCTATGTATGTTCATCGCACATACATAGAGCTTTCAGACCTCAGAAATTGACACGAGATACTTTGATGATGAATTTACAGCGCAGTCCATAACAATAACACCTCCTGACAGATACGACAACCTGGATGCCTTAGAACCTGACCAGCGTACTCACTTTCCTCAGTTCTCGAGACGCTGACTCGAGTATAAGCCGAGGGGGCATTTTTCAGCACAAAAAAAGTGCTGAAAAACTCGGCTTATACTCGAGTATATACGGTAGCTTGTTTTCCATTCACCTTTGTGTGTTCCAGGACAACTGTTATTCTCCAAGAAATAAAATAAATCAAAATCTAACTGGCATCTCATAATGGCCACAGCAGGAACTCAGGCACTTTAATATTATCAATCGAGTTGCCAAGAGATTAAAAAAAAACAAAAAAAACTGTAATATTGGAAATCTCCAGCAATGGAAATATCAATTTTGGGATGTCTGATCCTCTAAGAAGGTTTTCGGACTGATTGTGCCAAATTGATCGTAGATACAGCATTTTGTAAAGAAACAGAAAAATTCAGCCAGCAAGGAATGCAAAAAGTAGAAAAAAAAAAGATGTGGAATATTCTAAATCTACGTGACAGAACATGAAGAACTAAGTCGAGATAATCAAACAGTCAAAATATACTGCAATATCTTTGATTCCGTATCACATAAATTCCTCTGACAAGCCTCAATGACCTGAAAATACAGTACATTGTGAGGTAGCAAGAGAAAAATAGTGAGGTATCAAAACAAAGAAAGCGTATTATTTACTAAAACTCCATTAAATGTTCTAAAAATGTCACTAATAAACTGAATGTCAGCATTGTACCTCATACACTGTAAAATAATTACTTATAAAAAAAGAAGCTGCTAGCCGGTATAAAGTGTGCACGTCTCCAATACCTACAGCACCTCCAATACCTACAGCAACTCTCACTGCCCTGTCTACAAACCAGTGGTGGGCAGTTCTGTTCTGAATGGGCAATTCCCTGACGCTGCCATCTTCTTTCCTCCCCTTATCACTTTTGGCCAATCCCTATGATGGGCTGCCTTATAAGCCAATATGAATTTGTTGGACGTGGGAGTGCGGCAGCAAACTCTTATCAAACGGCCTGGAATTTGGATGTAGAGAAGGCAATGAAAGCTGCTGTAGGTATGCCTGTGGCTGTCAGAGCACTGCAATGCACTATGGGACTTGTAGTTTCACAACAGCTGGAGGGCCTAAGTTTGGCTACCCATGCTTTAGAGTGCGTCTCTAGCCATTGTTTTAGTTTTGGATAGAGAGGAGAATGTTTCTTTAAAAAAATAACCCTTCTAACACCCTTTATATTAATCAGAGTCCACCAGATGGTCTTGTTGTAACCCCTCATGTTACAAAGTCATGACTCGGCCACCTCTAAGGACTTTGCGGACTGGCACTTTGAACAGCCAATGAGCATACACATCAGCAGTGGCAATGTAAGAAGTTGAAGAAGGATCCCTCCACACACCACAGAATTAAAAAAGAAGTCTCTGGAAACATCAATTTAACACTGCAGGGAAGTGTGAAGTCAGAGCTGAAGTGCAGGCAAACAGCTAAACACAAAGTCCAAATGCTAGTATGAAAAATCTGTGGCTGTGGTGAAACAGCCAGGTTGGTGACATTGATTTTTTATTTGTCCCACAGTTATGCACTACAGCTTGGTCACCTCCCTGCCCTCAGCCTGTGATTGGACAATTAAAGAGCAGTAGCTTTTTCATTAGGTCAGCTCTCTGTTCACTCTGCTCTCTCCTCCAGCCAGCACATATGTAAGCGGCACATCTGACCCATTCCCTGTGTCCATGTTTCTGTGCAGGGGATTACAAGAGGCCAATTCCAAAACAAATTCAAGTACTTGCCTTTGCTAAATTTAAAGTGACTATGCCATGAGGGAAGTATGCAGGGCTGTCATTGCTGCTCTCCTGAAGAAATGGCTAATTGGCTGCCTGTGTATGAGTTAAGTACTCAGAAAATTGCTGGAAATCCTTATGTCTATACTAGTTCCAGACTCACACATCACTGAAGCCAAAGCACCAGTGTGATAACCAGGGAACTAGCATTCTCATAACAGTTTAGCAAAGGCGGTCTCCCATTATTTTTTGATGACAGAATTTTTTATCACCATTTAAACAGCATTGCATTTTTAATGAATGCATCAGCATTAATAATCCTTTTTTTATCTGCATCGAAATCTATAGACTGCAGAATTTGTCATTTTATTATTTGAGCCTGGACTGAAAATGCCTTTATTATATAGTAGCTTTAATATTAAGTGTGGATTTCAGAATAAACTCTCAGTTTGCTTCCAGTGAGTATAAAACTCCAGTGATGTCATTTAGAATCATTAACAGGTGGCATTACACTCAGAAGCCCTAACCTAGTTTGACAAAGCCTATGCTTCTGATGTTACCCGCACATCACTTGTTCAGCTTCATACATAATGTAACACAAGTAAGTGATACTCGCAACAGTCAACGCTCACCTCAACCCGGAGAGAGCTGCATGCTCTCAGGAACTCTCTGATATTTTCCAGGCAATCGGCTTCACTCTTCGGTTCTGCTGAAAACTAATTAGAAAAAAGAAAATGTTAAAATATGCAAAAATATATGATATATATATATATATATCAGGTTTAATTTTTTAATATTTATTTATTCATCTTTTATTAAATCTTTTTATTTTTTACTTTGTTTTTAGGCTGGGTTCACACCTAGGCATATTGAATATGCGCGTTTGTCGCGCGTTTTTACCGCGATTCGCGGTAAAAAAAAACCGTGCGACAAACGCCCGTTTCCGAGGGCTACTTGGCTGTATCCCAATGGAAACGCGAGACCAAAACGCCCCAAGGGATTTAGATGTTTGAGCGTTTTGTAGAGCGTTCGTCGAGCGTTGAACGCGCTACAAAACGTTCAGGTGTGAACCAGGCCTTAGTGGCTTCTGGTAAATATTAGTAACCATACTCTGTCCTCATTTACAAACACTCAGCGATCACTGACTGCTTGTATCGCTCTCCTTCCTGACTCGCTGTCACAGGGGGCTGAGCGAGTGGAGCTCAGCCTGCTGTGACAGCGCTGGCTGCCTCTGCCCCACACTGCTCTCCTCTGATCTGTCACAGGAGGCTGAGCGGTACGGGGAGGAGAAACGCTAGCTGCTCACACCGCTCTCCTACCGCAGCGCTCGACCGCCTGCGACAGTTTCTCTCCTCCCCACTGGGACACAGAGCAGCGCCCAGCGGGGAGGAGAGAAAGAACAGATGCACAGATTTTTAATGCAGCCCAACGGTAAAAGTTGCGCTACTGTCGCCCCGAAAATCTCGCTATCCCGGCCACACGGATCCGCTTCAAAAGGTATGTCGCTTAGTGTGAATGGGGCCTTAAACTAGCCATGCACTGTACAATCTGATTGTACAATCTCCTTAAGTTTTACCATTAACTATCTAGTGCGAGGACCTGATTTGATACAAATCGAAAGGACTGTTAGGCCTTGCTCACACCAAATGCAGAGCAGATCTGCATGAGTTTCTGCACACGCAGTGCAGTGGGTTGTGCCGCGTTTTTGATGAGTTCTGGGACGTTTTCGGTAAAATTAAAAAATATATTTTTTTTTTGTTTAAAATGGGCTTTCAGTGCGTTCCAAGGCATTTGCATGCATTTTTGATGCGTTTGCATGCATTCCAGAGCAGGTAACATAGGGCCTGCTGCAGTTTTTTTACCCGCTCTGGAACGGAACGCTGCGATGTGAGCTGGAGCTAAAAATACCATTGGAATACATTGGACGCAGTTTTGCTCCGGTCTGTAACTGCTCTGCTCCTGGAACACGCTTGGTGTGAACAAGGCCTTAAGGTCTGTCCTCATATTACACAGTATTGGTAGCTCTAATAGATGTACAATGTAATTGTATAGTGTATGGCCAGCATTAAACCATCAATACGTTCTAGTCACTTACACATTACCCATTCCTGCTAGAATCTGGATTCTAAATCAATAAGGTAATCAATATGGAATAACTTCAGAAATGTTGTATGGCAGCGTTTGGACTTTAAGCTCAACTGCAGCAATTTTGTTTCTTAGTTTCTGCCACGTTTTTACCAATTGGAGAGATTTCCTTTAATACAAGTCCCCCAGTGAGACCAGGACAAGAAATGAGAGATTGTGAGGGACTGGAAGACACAGAGAGCAAGTTCTGACAGGTCCTCGCTCTACTAAATAAATAATGCATTTGCTGCGGTTTGTCCCGATTGGAAAGATATCTTATCACTTCCTGTTCTTGTGACACCCTTGACAGGAAGTGAGGGTAATGTTCATCAAAGGGTGCGCCAAAAGTAATATAAACTGACAGACGTTTAAATTTTTCCCTCCATTGTACGAAGGAAAAAAATTGCCTGGAGTTGGGCTTCGTCAATTAAACTTCAGCATCCCTTCAGACCACTCTGCCTGCCGCCTCAACATAAGGTCATAGACGCGTGGGCATTTTTCTGCGCCCAGGATACACAGCTGTAATGTACAACCAGGGGTGTCCTTAGCATAGGGTGGGGGTCAAACTGGCAGTTATGTTCCAGGGGGGTGCACAATAACAGTGCTCTGGCCGGTGTCATGGTAGTGCACCACCCAAACCACTGACGTCACTGGTCGACAAGAGCTGAGTGGGATTTTGGCTACAGTGTCCCAGGTTGCTAAGAACCAGGCGGGGAGATTTGTGAGGGCCACACACATCTGCCCACCCAGCAACCAGGGAACCTCTCGCTGGTGTCCTGCCCAGCTCCTGGCAACCAGTGACGTCCGTGGGCTGGGACGCCGGCCAAATAAACTTTTATTGTGCACCACCAGCACCCCATCCACCCACAGCTATGGACACCCCTCGTTGTAAATTACAACTGTGTATACTGGGCGCAGAAATATGCCCATGCTTCTACGACCTCATGTGCCCGTGTGCGTGAATCCTAATGCAAAGCTAGACTCTATATATTCCAGGGGCAGGCAACCTCAGGAGCTGGTGTGATACTACAAATTCCATCATGCCTCTGCCTCTGGAAGCCATGCCTCTGGCTGTCAGTTTATATTACAATGTCTCATGGGAGTTGTAGTTCCACAACAGCTGGAGCACTGAGGTTTCCTCCCCCTGCTATATTTGATTACCAATTTGCTGTAAGACAGACAAATGGTAACACATGTTCAGTATGTCTTAACTATTATGTCTACAACGCTCCCAGAAGATGTCTGATTCGTACATTCCAAACATTGTATCTCTCAGGATCCAGAATGTTTAACTTGTACACTAGTGATATGTAGTATGAATGACAAGGAACACAGAACACTACTGATATGTAGTATGAATGACAAGGAACACAGAACACTACTGATATGTAGTATGAATGACAAGGAACACAGAACACGGCACTGCTTTGTGTTATATATCAATGTTAGTTAGGTAAACATCAGATGCAGCCTGAGCCAGAGCTGACATTCCTCTTCTAGGTGGGTTCCCCCGGGCCCAATCCTCCTCTATTTTATAATATTTGACAGCAACTGCAGCAGTAAGATCATCTGCTAAGAGATCCCACTCTGTCCCTACAGCTCAAATAACAAGGGAGTCTCACTCCTACTGCCGTATGTTCCCGCAATGGACAAGATCGCATGTTACACTGATACGTGTGGTGCAGTGCTATTGAGGTCTGGTGCAGACCTAGGCGATCCGGGACCGCATGATCGTGTGCAGTTGCACACAGTGGTTTGCCGCACGGCCCCATTGGTTTTAAAGGGGTTACATCCATGAGGCAATCGCAGAAAAAAAAAAAAGGTACATGTACCTTTTTTTTGCGACAAGCGACGTGCGGCTGTGGGCGGAATCCCGGCAGGAAACTGTGAAATCTGCCCGACGCGACTGGGGTGCCATTAGAAAATAATGGCATCGCCAGCGAGATTGATGGTGGTGGGCGACTCCGTGACCGGATGCACGATTGCCCCACGTTCACGGGTCGCATAGATGTGAAACTGGCCTAAAAGCGCAACTGAAGCCAAAACTTTGTTTTAGTTTTGGATGGAGTGGAGAGGGATTAGAACATCAGTTTTTATTGCTGCCTGTGTCCCCATTCGTGAGATGCACCCGCTCTATTTGTCCACTCGTGATCATTGAAAGTGAAAGAAAAACCCAACATTTGGGTTGTCACCAGAACAGCAACTAGGGCAGGAAGTGAAAGGAAATCTCCCCAAAAGGCACGCAGATGGCAAAAAGAAACTGACAGGGGTTAGAACTCTCCTTTACTCCATCAAAATCTAAAAACAGCTTCAGTTCAACTTTAGGCCCCATTCACACACGAATCGGCCTGCACGTACAGCTCAGTGCGGGGCCGTACCAAGCAGCTGCCGGGAAGGACAGGTGCTGCGTGTGATTAGTACGCAGCCCCCGTCCTTCTCTATGGGGCTATGCCGCCGTACGCATACAGGATCCATTCCGGCAGCGTATGAATACGCTCACCCGCACCCCTACGAACGTGCAGGGCGGGCCAGCGAAGGGGGGCGTACGGCCGTGTAGCCCCATAGAGAAGCACGGGGGCTGCGTTCTAATCACACGCAGCACCTGTCCTTCCCGGCAGCTGCTTGGTACAGTCCCGCACGCAGCACGGAGCTGTATGTGCAGGCCGATTCGTGTGTGAATGGGGCCTTAATGACACCCCAACCTAGCATCCCTAGTACCTAGCATCGCATGTGCGTTGAATTGCACCACTATGCATACTAACTTTACATGAAAATGGTCATGCACTTCTTTTAGTGTGATTGAGATACAACAAATGAACGGACTGCATACCACAACGCACCCTGCAGCACACATGGAAAGTCACGTCACAGAACTGTGAATGGAGCCTAAAGCTGGCCATACACCTTGCCATCATTGGACGAAAAGTTTCGAACCGTCTTACGATTTTCGGACGGCGGATCCATCATGCCCCGATTATCGCAACGTTGAATCAGCGGCAATTAACAGAAAAGCACCTGGACTAATTTTTCATCTGCGCATGTGCAGTGTAAATCATACAAATTTTGATTTGACGCCACCGACCTTGCGAATATCGTACGGTCGACCGAAGTTTTCTAACCTGCTGGTTAGTCAAAAGTCGATCGATTGTACAGTATTTGCGGTTGTACACTGCCCATCTACCTTACGAATATCCGACGAAAACGCGATCGCATACGAAAATCGGACGATGATCGTAAGGTGTATGGGCAGCTTAAGAGTAATAGAAAGATAAAAGTTGCAAAAGTTAGGTACCCAGGCGTAAGTAAAAATGGAATGGATTACCTGGATCAGAACAATCTAGAACAGTGCATCAACCATTGCAATTGATTACCTGGATCAGAACAATTCTAGAACAGTCCATCAACCATAACTCTTCAAAGGGTATCTATTAGGGATACTAGTATCGATATCGGTGCTGATACCGAGTATTTGGGCAAGTACCCTTACTCGCCCAAATGCTCCGATGCCTAGCCCGATACTTCCTGTATCAGGAAGTCGGGCAGCCATCATTACACACTGCCCGGTTTCCTGATTGGCCGGGAAGCGGCTCCA